AGGAGGCCTAGCGGTGTGCTTTCTGGCTGCTCCAGCAGGACTTTTCCTCGCCGGCCTTGAGTCTGGGTCTGTTTCTGTTCAGTTCTCAAGTCCGGTGGGAGGTGGCAGAAGAAAAGCACATTTGGATAGAGTATGGAGAGTTTGTGGACTAAGAGGTGAAAAGCTAGAGGAAAGGAGTTGTAGGGGTGAGGTCCTCCAGCCCAGAAAGCCGAAGTGTAAAGTTTCAGACTCAGCCAGGGGGAGAAAAATTCTTTCCGGCGCTTCCGCCCTTGCTTGGCAGCTAAGTGGGATCGCAGGCACCGCACGGCCTGTGGTCTCTTCCAAGAGAGTTCAGATTCTTCTCCTAGAGCTGCTAACCGAAGACTGAACACCTAACGGGAACATCTACTCAACGCAAAGAAATTCGTCCGCAGTGCGTTGCTGGGGCCTGAGCCTGCAGGCCTGGGAGTTTCAGTCAACCCCACCCGTGTCCTCCCGCAGGGGGTCGCAGGGTGGGCCTGAGGGTGCAGGAGGCGGGGCGGGCGGCAGCAGGGGCGCGGGGCGGCTCCACTGCGCGGGAAAGCGCACCGTGCTCCCGGCCGGCGCGCGCGTCCTGCGGCTGGGCTTAGGGGGCGCGGCCCGCGGCGCCCAGGCCTTGGCTCCCCGGCCCTGGGGTCTCCCCTGTCACTGCAGCGGCGCTGAGCCCCAGCGCCCCTCACCGGCCGCCGCTGTCCCCGCAGGAAAGGCGCTCGGGTTCCCCGCGCAGCTCAAGCCCTCGCAGTTCGACCAGAGACTCCTGCTGTGGACCGGACGCTTCAAATCCGCAGAAGAGATCCCGGCGCGGGTCCCGTGAGTCGGGCGGGGAGTGGGGCCGATGCAGGGCTGCAGGTCGGTGCGGGCCGCGGAGCCCGTGCCACGGGGTTCTTCCCGCTAACCCTGGCCGTCAGCAAGCTATCAGCCCCCTTTCCCGGCGCTCTTCAGGTGAAGCTCTCACCCGGACAGTGGGCAGCTAATCTTTACGGAGACCGAGGACGTTGGGCGAAAACCCGAGATTCCCTGGGCACCGCCACCGTCTCGTTACGGTCTCCAGAGCGGCCGCGGAGGGGCGCGGGCGCAGGAGCCAGGGGAAAGCGGCGGTGCCGCCTGCAGCCCTGGCCGCTGGGCTCCGAAAGGAAGGAAGGGAGGGAGGGTCCTCTGAGCAGGCGTGCGGGCTGCCGGAGGTGTCTGGGGAGAAACCTCACCCACCCAGCCTTCTTTTCTGTACTGCAGCCAGGGCTTGGGACCGGAGAGGCCACTGGCATGGTTGGCTTCCTCATAGTGCTAAATCCACCAAGGCAGAGATTTAATAAGTGACCAGAATCACCTCCGGGGCAATCACCTCCAGGGCAATGTAGCCCTTGTGTAATAACAATAAAAATAAGTCAGTGTAATGTAGAAAAAACAAAAAGAAACCCTACTCTTCCAGTTTACGCCAATCCCAAAAGACATCCCCAGCACTTTTGCAAGAAAATAGAAAGAGAAGGAACTAAGAATAAAATCAATCTACTACTGTTAAAACTGAACATTAAAAAAAAGAAAAAACAAAAACAGCATGTTGGCGCATGCCTGTAATCCCAGCGCTCTGGGAGACTAAGGCAGGAAGATCACAGGTTCCGGACCAGCCTAGGCAAATTAGTGATTTAATAAGACCCTGTCTCAAAATGAAAAATCAAAAATGGGTCGAAGATGTACCACGGTGGCAAACAGAGCCTTACTGATCATGTGAAAGACTAAAACCAAAATGTCAAATAAGGATTTCAGATGTTTTCTATATCACATTTGTACAATGGAGTTGATGAATGCCTATTGGACAGATAGTAACAACTGGGTCTACATCTTGTCCATCACATATTGCCTGTAGTTTTTGCTATTAGTTTACAGTTTACCAAAAGCATTTCAAGTTAAATGGGGGAGAAAAAGTGGTGGGAAATATATACTCAATAATGAATTCTAAAGCATTTCTGTTCCTTTTAGATCAAGAGTTATTTAATATGGAATAGACATGGACTTTGAAATAATGTGGCTTTCTGAAAACTTTTTCTGCATTTATTCAACTGCAGAGACATTTTCTAATACCATAAAACAATTTGTTTTCCTTGAGATCATTAAAGGCCAAACTGCAAACTTAGCTAAAAGTATGATTTAGCCTCAGAAAGTCTTTATTAGCACAAGCTCTGGTTCTTAAATTTGAATTGATAAATGAGAATACTTTACAAGCTAAATGAATAGATAAAAATGTAAACAGACAAAAATTAAAATACCACCCTCATTTTTTTTTTATTTTGGGATCTAGTGATTATAGCAGAGTAGTAAAGAATGAGCATTATTATTTTTTTTTTTTGGTACCGGGGATCGAACTCGGGTCCTTGCGCTTGAGAAGCAGGCGGCGAAACCACTGAGCTAAATCCCTGGCAAGAATGAGCATTATTATAAAGTAGTGTTTGTCAAGAGAATCTATACCCAACATAGCTGCATGTCAAAAGAGACCTTTTTTACAGAAATAATTTGATTTCCTCATGATCACAGTCAAAAGAAGTATCATAAACAGGAGCATTTCACAATGAGCAAGATACCCATAGAAAGCATTGTAGTTTTGAGCTAGAAACATAAAAATATTTGAATGTTTTTCATTGTATTATTTTCTATAATCTTTTTTCAAAGCATTGTTATTCAGGAGGAATATTCTGTTAAACTATTAAATTGGCAGTGTAAACAGCTTTCACTTTTTGTGCTCTTAATGACATATAATTGAGAAATTACCTGTAATTTTTGTAAAATACACTAATTCTATTTAATAATAACTGTACTTTGTCTTGTTTTTTAGTGCCAATTTGGTGTAACATATCAAAGCCAGATGGGTAGGTAAAAATAAAATCAGATCATTTAGGTTCCATCTGGAATAAAAGCTAGTAACAAATATAATCTAATAATGTCTGTGTGGACACTAATTGAAACTGTTTACAATCATCATCTTAAAACTTTATATGATTCTGCCTAAAATCTAAGGATGTGCATGTCATTAAAATGAGGCTGAACTAAATTAAGGGGCCTTTAAAATCCAAACTAATGTTCAACCTGAGTTCTACAATATTTGGTAACTGCAGTCCCTTTGGTTATTCTTTTCAATATGTGCAACTAGGTGAAACAGGTTTCAAACAGGTTAAATAAACCAAGAAATACTATTTCCAGAATGTTACTAAAATGATAAAGTACTAAAACAGTAATTGTAAAAACTGTTTTATTAAAGACAAAATCATTAGAAAAATAACAATGGTATGTCTCAATGGTCTTCAAACTTGAATAAGCCCTAAAACATTTTAAATTGTTATCCTGTTTTTAAGTTAGCATCTAACTTTTAATCATAAATGTCAATGTTGGCCTCACAAGTCCTTTTCTTAGAGAATATACAGAACATCTTAAACATTCTGAAGAAACAATACAACTATAGAAAAAATCCAGAGTCAAAGTTTGATAATAAAATTAAGAGGCAAAAACTAGTAAAATAAGGTAGAAGATCAACAGAACTTAGGAATTTAGGAAGTCACTGAGGTTAAAAAGGCAGAAAATAATATTAGAAATGGTAAAAGGGATTAAAGTCCATATTCAGATTTTTATTATAAAGGGTGGTAGAGGAGGGGAAAGGGGATATAAAAAGATACGTCATGTCCGCATGGTAAATATGATTATTATGTACTCCAAACATGTACTAATAACAATGAAAAAGGTTTTTAAAAGAACAGTATGGATTGGTATGCTATCATCTGCTTCTGTTCAAAACATAATAGTATTTACTATCCTGAAACAAGTAAAATACCAGACAAAACATGAAACAAGAGGCATGAGGTAGTGGACAGTGTGACTTGTGAAACAGAGGCAACAAATTAGTTGAGCAGCTGTGTGTGCTCTTTACTTCCTGGGAACTTCAAGACCGCAGGGTAAGGCAGAGAAAGCCTGGGAAAGCCTAGACTTGCCGAGGTAGGGTGAGTCGTGAGGCCAGGTCGGGACAAGCAGGTTTCACTGGAGGGAGCACCCAAGTTAACAGGGCCGCAGACTGCTCCAGATCCCCTTGTAGTCTTCAGCTAAGTATCTCTGACCTCATGTGACCACTACCCCGGGGCATCCACAGAAGCCCCTCCCCACCTCCAAGGGACCAGAGGAAACAGTTGTTTTAGAGCTCATACATGACCAGGAATATTTTGGGTTCCCTCAGTTTAAATGGTATGAGTATTCAGAAAGGAGCAGCCTCAGAAGGAAAATAAAGGCTGTCCTGTAACTGCCTTTCAAGTTTAAAAGCAAACCTGTAAAGTCAATTTTTTCCCCATAACTTACCTGTTCCCATTAACAAAGCTCAAAAGCAAAGCACTGATTTCATACCCCAGCTACTGTGATCAGAGCTGTATTATACACAGAAATACAGGTATCCTTTTGGTGTGATTTCCTCTCCATGACCTTTGGATGTACCCAAGGAATGGGCTCAATATCATTAGCCATCATGGACATGCAAATCAAAACCACAGTGAGAAACCATCTTGTATCAGTTAGAATGGCTATGATCAAAACAAGAAAGAACACATGCTGGTGAGGATATGGAAGAGACTGTTGGTGGGACTGTCAATTAAGTATAGCTACTACAGAGAAGAGTATGGTAGTTTCTTCAGAAAGCTGAGAATAGAGCTACTCTATGAACCTTATCTCTATTTTGACAGTCTGTTAATGATTTAAACACTCCAGTTAAAATGCAATTACTGTGATGGCTGAAGCAGCTGAATTTAGATTCGCCATCTTGCTATTTATTCCCTTTTCCCTTCTCTTTTGGTCTTTTAACTCTTTTCTGTCTAGTTTAAGTACTTTCATTTTATCTACTTTCTTGGTTTTATAAAGTAGGTATAAAGTTAACCAATGATGGCATCTGTCTTTGCTCCCTGTTGGGAATACACAATCATAAGCGGAAAAAAAATCAAACAGACACATTTATATCCATATGCAATTGTAAAATAGCATTTTATTATTTTTAACATATTGTTGTAACATTTCATAATACTGCATACTGCTCAAGTGTTGGTTTAGTTAGCTAAGAATATCCTCCCCTCAGTCAGGATTTAAAGGCATATTACCCTTCCAGAGTCTTATATTGGTTCCTAACGTGTCACATTTCATAAAATAGTAATGCTATGAACTAAAATAATATAGGTTAACAATTTGGTTTCACAGTTTCACAATTAAGTAACCAGTAGATTGCTGAACTTAGAATACCAACAAAACTCCACTACAATTTTTTTTATATTTACTTTTTTCACAGTGCTCCTTTGTAAGAGAAGAAACAAAGGTAGAGGTAATAAGTGCGTTTAGTTCTTTACCCAATAAATCAATTTTTAACTGCAAATGGTTTTATGTTACCAAAGGATATATTATTTCTGTGCCAGCAGATTTTATTACTTTTTAATTTCTTTGTTCTGGTGTTACCAGTAAGTGAACAAATGACACTAAAAATTAGTGAGAATAACCTTTTAAAATGAAACTTACAGTTTAAAACAAAAAGGGCCAGTGAGTCAAGTACTTATAAATATAAAACAAACATGATTGTGCAGATTAACTAATTCAAATTCAGACAAAACATACTAAATTTAGAAATGGACCTTTTCTTTTTCCTTAGTATTTACATGAATGTTGCAATTGAAATCATCTTTATGACACATTTTTACTTCATTTGGCACAGTTTCTCATGGATGTAAATACTATAAATCTTTAAAAAGTTAAAAACTTTTTTTACAAGGGCCAATGAAGATTAATGAAAACACATATGGAGCATTTTAAGTGGTATACTTGAAAAGAGTAGTCATATTTTGAATATATAAAAAAGTAAAGTATTTCTTAGTCTTGATCCAATAAACTTATCACTAGGCCTAAGCTGGTCCAGTCCTCTTTGCATTCAAATCTAATCAAATTAATTCTTCAAGTAACAGATCCAAGAAATTAAAGTTTGCACTGAAATGTTTAAAGGTGTGGTCATATTCTATACTTACGAGATATAACATTTGTTTTACTGGCAAATATTTTAAAATCTCTCTCTCCTCTCTGTATTTTTAATGATTTGGCTTAAAGATTATAGTGACTATGGGGTCCTCGAAAGCAGGCACAGCTGGTTAGTATATCAATTATGGTGCATTATCCTGGTCAGTTGCTATGAAAAAGTGGAATACCCTGTTACCTGATTCTGAGAACCATCTGAAGCACAAAACAGTGTTTATCTGATGAATTCATGATCAACTTGGTAATCTTTAACAGAACTACCCTGTTTTTTTAGTAATATAATACCAAAAAACTTTTTATATTCAACTATATAACTTCCACTACAATAAGAAGAGCACACCCAGTCCCCTAAATAACAGACTAATAAAGGGTTGGCCACTGTGGTCAGCATTACAGACACCATGTAACCCTGGCATTGTACAGCTGTAGGTTTTAAGTGTCTTGCCAAAAGCCTAGTCTCATGATATATAATTTATAAAGTCATACTATTTAAAGTATCCTATATTTTTCTTCTTGTAACATGCCTTTGATTTCCAGCAGAAATTATTATAAATGCTATCATAAATGAAATCTTTCTTTACAGAAGAGACTATGAATCTTATCAAAATTGTTTTAGCTCTCGTCTTAACAGCTGCAAATAAGAAGTTAAATAAACATTCTATGTATTTAACTGGAAATGTAAATAGCCTGTATATAACTATAAATTAAATATCTGAGTTCAACAGTACCGCATCTCCTTAGAAAATTCTATCAAGCACAGTACTGTGTGAGAAGCATAGACAAACACATATATGTGTAAATAAATATATATAAATTTTCTATTGAAACCCTTTTAATTAAACTTTCATAATCTGAAAAGGATTCTGCTGTTAATTCATAAAACACACACATTATATTGTCCAATCTGATAAAAATGTAACCTGGTGCATAATAAGCACCAGTATGACCCCTCTGAGTATTACCAAAAGAAAAAATTCCTAAGATTTCAACCATATTAAAGAACCCTTAACAATTTTCATTAATATAGTCACTATTCAAACCTTAAATGCATTCAATAGTTTAATATATAACAAGGTGACTTCTTCAGAAATACTTTTATCATTCAACTACTTAAATTCATTATTACAGAGAATAAAACTAATTTCTGCTCTGAAAAAGAATTACAGTATTATTTTAGGTATGCAGCACAATTCTAGATTCATGATAGCATCTCTGCCCCAATGCTCTTTAAAATGAAGAGTGAAAAAATAATAAAACCATTTCAAAAATGGTACATTTGGTTGAAATACAAAATATACTAATATAATAGCATTTATACTTTAAAACACAAAGATGTATTTTTTAATCACTTTAGTATGTTCAACATGAAGAACAACTTCTTTCTTGAACTGCCACATTTTAACTGAATATCAATACAGTGATTCTTCTAAGTTTTATAAATAAATTTTACAGGTTTTCTGTTGCAACTTTTTCTTTACAAAGTATAACCTACAGCACAGTGATTTATAATTTAAGGTAATAAATATTTTCACATTTTAATTTAGCTTTTAATGATTTCATGCTTCTGAAGCTTATTTTTATTTTTGCTTCAAAATAGAGGTAGATTCAGTAGAGAATGGGTGTCAGACTTACAGTGAAAATGCAGTTATCAATAGCTGTACTGCTATTGTGCACTTTCCAAAAATACATGAAAAAGATTTCAGAACCATTATCTAACACTTCATCAGTTCTCCTTTGCAAGCTTCAGTTAAATAACTGCATAATGTATTTATTCACAAATAGATAATCCCAACAAAAAAGACATAAATACAATCACACTAAAGCAACAACAAAAAAACCTTAAAACAAAAAGTTGCATCTGAATGGAAACTTCTGTTTCATTTTGCTTCTAAAAAGTGCATCAAATTTTTTTCTGTCCTATGCTAAAAGAAGTCAAACATTCCAGCTGTCACTGGCGACAAAGAGGAGATAATCTGAAACAACTCTTTTAGCCATTAATTTGTTCCCCACTAATTAAAGCTGAAAGCCTTCCATTGGTGCTTCCTGCTGTTGAAATACAAATTGTTGTTGGTGTTCATCCACCTGAGGTACAATGCTGGGGTCATCTTCTTCTACACCAAAATAATGTTCAATCAGATCAAAAGCCTTTTGGTAAATTTCCTGATTTTCATGGCTTTGCAGAAACTCAATTTTATCCAGACCTATTAAAAAAAGCGCATATATGACAAATTATTATTAAAGTTTCAGTATATATATAAATCAAAATAATAAATCAACAGTATCTATTACTCCACTAGCAATGGACTGCAAATTAACTTTTGCACACATGAACAGCTAAGACATACGTCTTTCTTTTTTTCCTTAAATTTTTTTATCGGTACATTTTAGGTATACAATACATTTACATTTACCATTGGGAACTTGACCTGTAGATGATGGATCTTGGTTCTTATTTTTTCCCCATTCCCTGCCCTCCCTTCACCCCCTCCACCCTTCCCTATTTACAGAGACTTTGTAAGACATAGGTCTTTTTCTTCAAGAATGGCTGTATAGGGAAGTGTGATGCTAAGACCATGGGCCTGGTACTAAAAGCTCACAGAGGAAACCACCTTGTTGGCTGTGTGGTCTTGGCCCCGTTTACTCAATTTCTCTGTACTTGAGTTTCTCAGTTGTAAAATGAGTTTTACAATAAGGAATTTCAAAAGTCCCAAACTGGGCAAAGTGGTGCACACCTATAATCCCAGCACTTGGGAGGCTGAGGCAGGAGGATTACTATGAGTTCAAGGCCAGCCTGAACTACACAGTGAGACCCGTCTCAAAAAAAATCAATGTCCCTTCCAGAGTATTTACGCTAAACAACAAAGCACAAAAAGGGAAAGTAACTAAACCAATTAAATACTGAGCCAGAGAATATTGCTATGGAGCAAATGTAAATTATTTGACAATTCATGACTTTTTTCACAGCAAAATATCATATATGGCTACTATCTGAAGTATAGTCTGCAAGTGAAACTGAAAAACCTCATTCTGAAGAAATGAGGAGAATCTATATTTTACTGCTTAGAAGAAAACATTCTACACATTAAGTCTAGGTTAGTGATGGTGAACCTTTAGAGACCGAGTGCCAAACTGCAACCCCAAACCCACTTATTAATCATGAAGTGCCAAAACTGCAGTTAAACCTGAATATCGAGGTTTTAGTTTAGGAAAAAACAACTCATGCATCAAAATCTTTTGTCTTAAAAGAAAAACATAGTAACGTGTCATAGGTTCACCACCAGCAGTCTAATGCTGAAATACACTGCATTTAATTACAGAGCCACTTCAATAAGATTAGTGTAGAATAAGAAAGAATAAGCGGGTCAGTCATATCTTACAGACAGAAATAGCCCAAACATCAGTGTAACCGCGGGTCAAAATAATGACTGCAGTAAGGAAGTATGCCTGAAACCAGTGATTCGTATGTTGTGTTTATGTAATGTTTTAATCAGTGACATATATAAGCAGAGCTAAAGACAATGTGACAGCCCAGGTTTCACAGAAAACCCTAAATAAAAGCATGAATCAGCATACAGTAAGAGGACTTAACATAGAAAAGTATCAATACAAATAAAGTATAAGAAAAAACAATTTAGATTCATATCTATCCTAAAGTAAATTCCTGATGAGTTAATTTAAATATTTTAAGGATCCAATCAGAAACACCTGGCCAATAAAATTTTTTTTCACTAAACTCCATGAGGACAATGACTTTATAAACTGAAGAAACAGGAGATCCATTTATTAAATATAAATGAACATAGTTCATTTTGTTAAAGTAAAAAAAATCAGACTGGGAGAAAAGCTGTATTGAAATAAACTAAAAAAATTCAAATTTTTACAAAATATTCAAATAGGTAAGTGGATAAGGAATGATAAATATGTAATTTTGATTAGGAATACAGTAGTGCATGGAAAATACATACCACACTATGTGAAATAAACCAAGAAATACAAAAAATGTAACCTGGTGATACCAGCTTACATCTGCTAAATCAACCAAACAAGCATGAGGGTGTGGAGCACATTTGCACAGAGCAAGGGAGTGACTTGTCAGTAACAGGCCTTGGAAAGCAGAATGAGATGTACTAAAACAAAGTCTGCATCCAGGACTCAGCAACTACACCCTTCAAAGTGCATCCCAAGATACTAGTCCAACAGAAGAAGCAAATTTATATGCTGAAAGATGCCTATTTTGGCATATAAAAAGGAGTAAATAATTGGAAACAAACTACTGGTCAACTGCAAGTGTATGGCTAAAACTGCACATGACATGGCTAAAAGCACACGCAATGTTCAAGTGAGATAACACTACATGGCTACCAAAATCCTACAAATGATGGAGAAATGTAAAATTTCTACAAAATGTTAGAAAGTACAAAACTAAATATACACTTATTAAATCAATATAAAGTATTTGCACATAAGGTTAATGCAAAATGAATGTTAAAGGATGAAAATAAGTTGTTAAGGTAATAGAAAACACATTTTAAAATACAGTGCTTTTATAACAAAAATTTTTATGGAATCAAGGAAAAACTGGCTAAGGCAGATCATTAAGAATTGACTTCTTATAAATTCTTAATTGACCACTTACCATATGCTTCCTCAATGAGAGCACAGTATGAATTAATGCCAACTCCATTCTGCTTAGATTCTTGTTCTCCAAGACGTAATATATTTTCAAGTCCATTTAACGCCACCTGGACTATTTTGGAGTCCATAACAGTCAAAAGATCGCACAGTGGTTTAATGCAGCCTAAGGCTACCAAATACCTTCAAATAATTTTAAAAAGTGAGAAATGAGGAAAAAAGATTTAAAATGACTTTAAACACTGTAACAATGACACAAAAATATTCATGATGAAATGTCTATATAAACAATTGAGAAAAGTATTCCTATAAAAACTTAACCAAAAAAACAAAAGGGCTGGGGATTTAGCTCAGTGGCACCATGCGTGCCTGGCAAGTACAAGGTCCTGAGTTCAATCCTCGGTACCAAAAAAAAAACCACAACCATTCCGAACATTTAAATTTTTATTTAAATAAAGAACAAAATAAAAGACAATAGGAAGTAGTGAGATAAATCTTTAGCATATGAGAAGGGAACGAGGAGACAGAGGGAGGGGAAAGGGGATTAAAAAGAATTAAAATGTGTCATGTGTCATGTATATGCACCAAATCCCCACAATGAATGTAATTACTACAAACATGTATCAATTAAAACAAAAGAAAAACAAGACTCTGAAAACCTGGATTCTCTTATTCTAATTTAAAATAATTACCAATGGTACTGCAAATACTACAGAATATAAATACAGGCACAGTGGCACATGGATCTGTTTGTGCATGGCATATAAACATTGTAAACAGCAGGTCTGGTGTGGGGGGGAGCTTTTTTTAAGGGCTATGTACACACAGAGTGGTCACATGAGGCTGAAGAAATGGAAAAGGACAACTGAATTAAATTTAGGAAATTTCGCACAAAAGCTATCACAGTTAATGTCTTAAACATATACTGTGTTTCACAAGTACAGAAGACCTCTAGGAACAAAACAGGCAGTCTTGAAAATAATGTTTATAAATAATGTTCACAAAATACTCCCTTTCCTAATGGTTTTCCTTTTCTGTTATTAGCTGTTTTCACATTTTCTGTAAGTTCATATTAAGCATGAGAGTTAAAAACCTCTCTCACAGGGCCGGGGATTTAGCTCAGTGGTTTCTCCGCCTGCTGTGCAAGCGCAAGGACATGAGTTCAATCCCCGGTACCAAAAAAAAACAAAACAATAAAACCTCTCTCACACTTATGAGGGTAAAGGAATTACAATCCATAAAAGCACCTGATACCCGCTGATATTCCACAGCTAAAATGACTGGCTTCGGCACTCAACAAGCATCCGTGATATGCATGCTGAAGCTACCTGAGATCAAGAAATTCTCTTCCCATATACACTGAGAGAATGGTTAGAAAGGTAATCAGCTTCGTATGGACAATTGATCTATACTAATTTGAGGAATGCTATGTGGAATAATATAATCATGAAAATAATTTTTTTGTGATACTAGGAAATAAAGTGAAAAAATACAACTTTACAGATGGACAAACTTTCAGCCAAAAGCAGACAAAAATAACAGCAGCATTAAAAAGTATACAAGAAAACAAAGATTTTTGTTTCATTACTACTTGTATTCATGACACAAATGAAGTGGAAAAGTTGACTAAAGCAATGAGACAGAACTGAAAATAAAAAGCAGACACTAGGTCTCAGGGGCATGTATCTAATCCCAGGTACTTGGGAGGCTGAGGCAGGGGAATCACAAGTTCAAATCCTACGTGGGCAATTTGGTGAGATTCTGCCTCAGATTAAAAAAAGAAAAAGGGCTGGGGATGTAGCTCAGGGTGAAGGTCCTGGGTTCAATCCCCAGTGCTGCAAAAGAAAAAGCATCATAGAAAGATGACATCAGTATATACAATACAGACAGATACAATCTGAGGGCCAGACAATAGTACATTTATTAAAGCAACAGTGACCTAACAACAGGTAGATTTCAAAATCTTGTATTTGTAGAATAACACTGTAACTTGGCTTTTTCTATTTTTTGTTTTGTTTTCTGAGATATGGTCTTGCTATGTACTCCAGGGTGGCCCTGAACTCACTATGTAGCCCAGGCTGGCCACGAACTTGCAGCAATCCTGCCTCAGCTTCCTGAGTGCCAGGATTGCAGGTGTTTGTCACCAGGCCCCCAAGCTGGTTTCTTGTTTTATCAATTTAAAAAAATCAAATATTCATTAGGGAGTATTTCCCAAATAGTCACTTCAAGAAATGTAAAAAAACCTCGAGTTTCAGGCCGGGGATTTAGCCCAGTGGTGCCGCTGCCTGCCTCGCAAGCACAAGGACCCAAGTTCGATCTCCGGTACCAAAAAAAACAAAAACAAAAAACCCCTCAAGTTTCACTGAGAAATATTCAGAGTAAGATTCTGCAGGAAGTTGGACTTTCATTAGATGGCAATATGGAATTTTCCAACAGAAGATAAAAAGACTGAAAATACATGATAAAAACCAAGAGCAGGGCTGGGGATTTAGCTCAGTGGTTTCGTCGCCTGCTGCGCAAGCACAAGGACACGAGTTCGATCCCCGGTCCCAAAAAAGAAAAAAAAAAACCCAAAACCAAGAGCAAGAAATCAATATTGATAAAAATTATGATGATTACAAATAATAATGATAGTTGTAGCTAACTTTAGATGAGAGCTTAATGTTTAGGCACTGTAGTGAAATGCATAAATATCACTTAAGTTAATATCTGTTATTAAATGCATTCTAAAAAATGAATACACTGAGGGCCAGGGATTTAGCTCAGTAGTTTCGTCGCCTGCTGGGCAAGCACAAGGACACAAGTTCGATCCCCAGTACCAAAAAAAAAAAAAAAAAGACTACACTGAATTAGACATTAAATGACACTGTCAAGACCACACAATTTTTATTAAAGGAACAAGACTTTAAACCAGGCTGATCTAAAAGCCCATTTAAATACTACTTATGTTGTCAGTAAAATAAACAATAAAAGGCCTACATTCAAAAAGCTAATATATAAGAAAAGACAACCAGAGTAGAAAAGTGAAAGTGTGATATCCACTTGTAAGGTTAACAACTGATTAAGGGTAGAACATCTCTAAATATCTATTTCAACTTATTTTAAATAAGATATTAAAATGTATTAGTCATTTCTATATAATCAAGTTAAATTTTTTTTCTGACTTTAGTGTTTAAAAGATATCTAATGCCCATAATATTTTTGTGCAAATTAACACAGGCTATTCCCTGTTAAGATTTTTAGTCTCTAGCCTGCCATGGAGATTATTAGCTAGAATTTAATTTTTTAAAAAACACTACAGCAATTAGACAAGAGAAAGAAATAAAAGGAATAAAGATAGTAAATGAAGAAAAAAACACTGCAAATAACAAATGCTGTCATTTAAGATTTAAAATGCCTATCAAATTGACATAGAAATGATGCTTTATCAATAGTTTATTTCAAACTGTTTCATTTATACTTAAAAAAATTTTAAAAATTGTATCACTTCTTAAGAAAATGTATTTACATTCAGAGGAGTACTACTCTGCATAACGAAGGATAAACTTGTGACATTTTTTGATAAATGGATGCACTTCAAGATCATAATGTTAAGTGAGGGGCACCATGCCTTCCTCACAAGCTCAAGGTCCTGAGTTCGATTCCCAGTACTGGGGGGAAAAACATAATGTTAAGCGAAATAAATCAGACACACAGCTTAAACATTTGTTTCTCTTATGTGAGAAACCCAAGGAGCAAAACAGAAGACAGATACTGGGAAGTAGGAAGATGTTCAAATGGCAGGGGGAGGGAGAAAACAAGTGGAAAAAAGGAAAAAAAAGGAAATAAAACTTTTGTAAATGTGGAGGGGAAGGGTTCAAGGGGGATGGGAAAAAAGAACAATTAAGATATATTATATAGGGGCTGGGGATTTAGCTCAGGGGTTTCGCTGCCTGCTGCGCAAACACAAGGACCCGAGTTCAATCCCCGGTACCAAAAAAAAAAGATATATTATATACAGTACAAATTCCCTATGATGAATGTGATCATTCTGTATGGCAAATATAGACCGTACTAATGAAAATTAAAAATATAAAAAATAAAAATAGTATTTTCAGTAAAAAAACAGAAACAAAAAACAACAAAACCCTGCATCACACCTTGTTTGATCTGGAGTCCCTCCTGAGGTCGCATTAGTTACTGCCCAAGCTGCTTCCTTTCTGGTGCGAAACTCTGCCTTCTGAAGAATCTCAATCAAAACAGGAAAAATACTAGCATCTATAATAGCCTGAGAATAAGAAAAATGATGAAGCATAGCCAGTGCAAACGAGTTTTAAAAATATCACGAAGTATAAGAGTACTGAAACTGAGTGACTTCACAATACCAGAATTACCCTTGGAAACACTTTATGCCTAATCTGTCAATAAACTTTCATGCACTTTTCTTTTTTAAAAGGAAAATTAGCTTTTTAAATAATGGTGAAGATATTAGCAGGTTATAATTTTAAAGATGAGAAAACACAGGAATATGATCAAAAAATGGATAAGCAATCACTGATGCTTGATAAAAGCTCATAAATCAATGAAAGCTCTAAGAGGAAGATCATTTCCTAACTTAAACCTAATGAAGAACAATTTCTTTCTAAAGATTAATCACTGTGTGTTGGGTACTGTGTGAGGTTACATATATAATCCTCACTAGAATACTAAAAGTAAATGTTACTAAATACTTTTTAGGAATCTATTTTTTTAAAAATAATCTTTTTAAATAACTCACTAAAATACATCTGCATGATACACTGGCATCTTAAGACAGTCGTGTTCTAGTCTCAGACTGGAAAGGCTGTTACCTGAATCTGAGCTCTGTTTCCAGCAGTTATGTTAGAGACAGTCCAGCAAGCTTCTTTTCTAATTGACTCCTTTGGGCTACTCAGTAAGTGCAGGAGACAGGGTAATGCAGAACAATTCAAAATCACCTAAAGGTAATTAGATATGGAAACAAAAAGTTTTATAGTAAACAATCTACATAAAAATTTACTACTAGATTATTTAGAAGCACAAAATTCATCCTGAAAAATGAAGAGAAGAGAAATTTTCCTAAAGTAAAACAGGGACTTGCTGTCTTTTCCCTTCCGCTTAATGCCAAAGCTTGTCTAGAGGCAGAGTAGTAAGGTGCTATTTTCAGTCCACTAAAATGCCAGAGTTGCATTCTTCAAGTTTACAAGTTAAAGCAAGTTTACATTTAGCATAATCAGTGAAAATACTGTTTTAAAATGTTATCAAGTAGAGGTATTTTGAAACTCTGGCTTTTTTTAAGTCAGGAATTTTGGAAATAACTTTGAAAATATTTTCAGAGTTGAACTGACGTAATAATTTGAAGAAAGATTTAGTGATTGAGGTCAGGATCCAATCTCTAGTTTTCAAAATGAATTAGTAAAAATTCTATGTGTAGGATAAGTCTGTTTCATTAAAATTTTTACTGTTCCACTTTTCTTTTTTAAAGAAATAGATTCTGCTTTGTCCTTTTACATTTTTTTATTCCACTGCAAGATTAGTTATGTTCTTATGTTCAAAATAATTCCCAATGATATTAATTTAGTAGAGTCCGTGGAGCAGTTCACTGAAAATTCAGCTGAAAAATACAGTGTATGTTTAGAAGAGCATTTTCATTAAAAGAGCTATTTTAAATGAATAACCATCCATTACTACAGATCAACTACTTATAACTTTGGTATCAAAACAGGACTTGAAAAATAAAGCTGCAAAACATGTAAGCTAGAATAAGAAAACATACTTAAAAGTTGTAAACAAGGAAAAATTTAATGGGTTACAGAGTTTAAAGTTTTATCTTTAAGAAAGACTGTGGCCCAAATCTGGAGTCAATCTTGACATCACTCCTAATGTGACCTCTCTCCAAAAGACAGACACACCTACACACAGTCTACCAATCCTGGAACAATTTCCTTGCCATCTTTTCATTTGGGTCTTTGATACACAATGCCTCACTATCCACTCTATTTCTAACTTTTTATAATCAAGCACGCTCTAACACTTTCTACTTTAGTTATGTTTAAAATACCTCACACACATCTGTGTACCTATGATCACATAAATCTCTTCCAGTCCACTGAAGTACTTCTCTACTTTTAGGCCACTCCTTTAAGGATAATACACAGATTTCTTAACACACTGACCACTTTTTAAAACTTTTTTTTTTAATTCATTGTTTATTGGTACATTTTAGGTATACAATATGATGACATTCATCATGTGGAATTTGTACCTTTAAATGATGTATCTTAGTTCTTATTTTTTTCCCCATTCCACTGCCCTCCCTTCAACCCCTCCATCCCTCCCTATTTACAGACTTTGTTTCCGTTTTTTTCCTTTTCTCCTAATTTTTCCTTTTCCTTATTTCCTTTCCCCTCCCCCTCCCCCTTCCCCTTTGCCCCTTTTCTTCCTATTTCACATTATCCATTATCCATTTTGATCCTTATTTACACTTTCAGTTTCTCATACCAGAGAAACTATTTGGTATTTACACGTGTGTCCTATTTATTTCACTTAAAAGAGTATGGCCTCAATGTGTAACCATTTAGCTATAAATGTCTCTAGTTTCTCATTCTTAATGGCTGAGTAGTACTCCATTTTATAAAAAAACAAAACATTTTCTTTATCCAGTCTCCAGTTGATGGACAATTGGGCTGTTCCAAGTATTAGCTACTGCAAACTGTGCTGCTATAAACATGGGTGTTAAAACTTTTATAGCATTTACTGATGGGTTAATTCATAGCACACATATACTATCTTGGGTAATTTGCTTTGGTCTAATATATATTTTCTCCCTTAAAGACTAGAAATCCCTCAAGAGCAGAACTTGTATCTTGTAGTTCTTTGTACTAATACAGATCTAAGATAGCACTTTCTCTTACATGTATTTGAGGCTGACTGCATGTTATCATGCCTAACGTGATATATAGTTTACAGTAATGCTAAAATCTTAGTATGTAAGCAAGTGGTATGAAACACAATAAAGTCCATTACATTAACATATGATAGTCTGGACTCACCTGTGTTTGAATATCATCACCAGTGACAATGTTACCAACTGCTCTTAATGCAGGTGATACAACTTTATAATCACTGTACCTGAAGATAAAAACAAATTTACTAAAAATGTAAAATTTACAGAAAGTTGCAAAAATAGCAGCTCCTCACAGAGACCCCGTTTAAATCTCAGTAATTCTCCTAGTACTACTTTATAGCAAAGGATCTAATCTGAGATCCCATGTTAACTCACTTGTCATGACTCTCCAGGATTTTTCAGTCTAGAACAGCTCCTCAGTCTAGATACTGACATTTTTGAAGACCATAAGTCAGTTGTTTTTAAGCAATGTTTTATCAAGATTAAAACCCAATTCATATATACTTGGCTAGGGTATCACAAATGCTACTGTCATTCTATTCAGTGGTACCTGGTGTTGCCTCTGTCCCATGATACTTGTGTTCAGCTCTGGTCACTAGTTAAGACAAAGAGTCTGCCATATTCTCCCACTTCAGTATTATTGATTTTCCCTTTATAAGCAGTACTTAGTGAGGAAATATTCTGAAATTATGTAAAAATCCTATTCCTTAACCTACTTTTACCACTAGCTTTGATGCTTGTCTGAAATTATTTGTGTCCACTGATGATTTTCATCATTGATTATCATTTCAGCTGTATGCCTTATATATTTACCTATCTACTGATTTATTTATTTTAGTGTGGACTCAGGAGTTTTCTATTTTATTTATTAGTTATAATACATTACTATTAATTTACTCCAAAGCTCAAACTGTCCCAGTTTTGGACAGAGGGAGCCCCTTCAAATCTGCTTTTGTGTCCTTTTGACATTTCTCCATTCTTTGAGCACTCAGTACTTTTGGTGTTCATCTTAGTTTTTTCTCATTTCCAGCCCTTGGGCCAGTTATTTCTCTAAGATTCCTGGTTCCTATGAATGGAGTGTGGTACTTAGAATCCAAGGCTTGGGCCTTTACTGTACTCAGCTTGTTCTATGGGGTATCCCTGTTCCTAGCCACTCTTAAGTCTGGGCTGTAACCTCTGCATTGAATCCGCTTGCCCCCTGCCCACTGCCCATGACACTGTTCTCTTATAGACCTTGACCTCTCCGCTTTAAACTACCTACCTCATCTGGGGCAACCAAATGGCTTTTTGACAAAAGAGAAAGGAATATAAAATGCTTTAAAGGTGGAAGATTAGAAGTTATAATACCTTTCTGAAACAAATTTCCTTAGAAGTTCTTGATTTCTCTGAATAGAAAATCTATTCTTTTAAAAGAAGGGAGGTAACTACAATAGCATACCATCTTTGATACACATGAAATTACTGTAACAAATAATAAATTATATTATTAGTTCTAAGAGTAAGAACTGTGTCCTACACTGCATTAACAAAGTCTTACACATCATCTTAGCAGATACTAGGCATTCTATAATTACCTCAATAAAGTTTCTCTCGTTCACAGATCACATAAAACTAAGGGAATTCATTTACAAAATAATCAGTCCCTACCTCAAAATATGATACAAATTTAAAGGTAAACTTTTTAGGATTATAGATACTCTGTAAAATGTGAGATTGGCAGGTTTTTAATTATTTCCAAAGAAATGACTCGGAGATGTTTACAAGATAAAAACTTTAATTGCTAACCTTAATACACAACCATGTAAGTATTAAGCATAAATTATAGTTACATCAATAGTTCCACCAATCTCCGACAGACTCCAGAATCAATGACAGCTTGGATTTTATCATTGGGTCCATCAGAGAGATATGAAAGGGCCCAGCACACATCTGCCAACACATCTGAGTCACTGCTAAACAACAATCGTGACAGGACAGTTAAGCAAGGTGAAACCTAGAAGAGAAAGAGTCAACATTTTTTAAAAAACACAAGTTTCCTTAGGAAGTTACAGAAATTCATTTCAACAGTGAAATTTAGTCTTATATAAAACCAGAGAAGTTAAAAGACTGTAGTGTTTTAAATTATGTTCAGATTATAAACTTGAAACTGATTATGATCACTACTGAACTTACATTGAGTAAGATTTGTGATAATGTTTTCGAAAAAATAATAAAGTATGTATGTGGGTCTCCTATGTTTGAATCATACATTCCATGGGTCCTCAAATGTATACTAAAACCGAAAGAAATCGAAATGCTTCCGTTAAGGGTTTACTGTAATGAACATGGAATATGAGCTAACCTAAATAGCCTCCCTTCGTTCATTACATGTGTTTTACTGGAAATAACTGACAGTCATTTGGAGAGCAAAGGTGTAGAAATATTAAACTAAATATATTTCTGTAAGGTATTCAAATGGAAGTCACTAGTAAGGTATATTTCTTCTTAATGTAATCACACCCTAAATTTTCAACTAAAAAACAGAACAAAAGACTGCCAACAGTGATTTTTAATCTTTCTAGTATTAACACTACAACTCATTAGTTGTGGAGGTAAGGAAACAACTTCATTTCTCTGACACTCAGTTTTCAAACACAAAACAAAGGGGGATAGATTGTATGATGCATCCTTCTCTTCCTTTTGGAAAAGTCTAGGCTCAACACTTCCTATTAGCTGTGTGACCATGGGAAGATTATGTAATGTTTCTAAATCCACATTTCTTCATTTTTAATAAGGTTCCACTGAGTTTGTAAGAATGCATACAGCATCTAAGAATAATGCCTGCCATCCAGTAACCACTCGAGTCAGCTCTTTTTATCCCCATGATTGGCAATGAGTCTACACTGCCTACATTCTTCTAAAATTGGTCTCCTAACTTAATCTTGGTCTCTCTCCTCCTTCCCTATCCATGGGAGATCCATATCAAGCCCCCCCAGTGCAGGCCTAAACTCATGCATCATATGCAATCTTACATATACTGGTTTCCCTACATACACAGACACAATTTAATGTCTTTTCCATATTAACTAAGCACTTATCCTGCACCGTGCCTGGAATTTTTGTAGCATGGTGTGCAAAAGCGAACCTAGCATGAAGTTCTTTTTCCTTCTTTGGAATTTTCAGACAGATTTGTTCATAATGCACATCACAGCAACCTGAACATATTTATTCTGATTAAGCTGAAAATATCTTTTACTTAAAAGAACCCTCTTTTTATCATATCTGAGTTGCCAGCATTCAAATTGCTTTGAAGTCATCACTAAGTAAAATAATGGTTCTTAAACCAAGCCCTGCATATGTCAAGAGCCCATGTGATAACCAACAAAGGTACAAAGTGGTTCTACCAAGTAACCACCAGGTGGGTAGTGTATGCAGCATGGACATGCTATACAAGCAAATGATTTATACCCAGGGCAGAATAACACAAAATTTCATCATACTATGTAAACACACAATTTAAAAATTCATGAATGATTTCTGGAATTCTCCATTTCATATTTTTGGATCACGGGTGACTGAAATCTCAGAAAGAAAAATCACAGCTAACCTATTTATCGATATAGGTTAAACGTTAGCTATGTCACAAATGGACCCTCCCCAAAAGTTGTGCTTCTATCCCTGTCAATCACCTCTTTCTCGAATAGAGAAATGCATGAATCCATGTTTTAAAACAAAACAAATTCTAAGTTTAAACAAAAAACCAGCACAGGCTTATGGCAGCCCACGTGTAGCCCATGTGGATGGGAGACGGGCCCAGACGCCTAGGCTTTGGGCAGCCTCGACCCCACCCTCCCTGACAGAGGTCGCCGCTCTTGCAGCCAGGGGTCTCCTTCCTCTCCGCCCTGAGCGGTCTGAGCGTCCCAGTGGCCTGGCCCACACGGAGGGCCTGCATGGTCTCTGAGACCCAGGGCTTCAGGCTTCCGCACGGTGGGTAACAGGAACTGGGGAGACCTAGGGCCAGGGGTCCCACTCCAGGCGTGAGAAGCACCACACGGTGAGGAGCAGCTGTGTTCGCTGGCAACTGGAGAGAGACACCTGTAATCACCGGTGTCCAGCAAGTTTTCTACATTGCTCTAGGTCAACGTGCAATACCAACATGTCTGTAAGCACTTCACAGATTCCCGCTTCAGAACAAGAGACCCTGGTTAGACCCAAGCCATTGCTTCTGAAGTTGTTAAAGTCTGTTGGTGCACAAAAGGACACTTACAGGGCCAGGGATTTAGCTCCGTTGTTTTGCCGCCTGCTGCGCAAGTGCAAGGACCCGAGTACCCAAAAAAAAAAAAAAGACACTTACACTATGAAAGAGGTCATATTTTATCTCAGTATATTACGACTAAATGATTATATGATGAAAAACAACAAATATTGTATACAGTTCAAGCGATCTAGGAGATCTGTTTGGAGTACCAAGGTTCTCTGTCAAAGAACACAGGAAAATATATACAATAATCTACAGAAGCTTGATAGTAGTCAATCAGCAGGAGCCATCTGACTCTGGCACATCAGTGAGTGAGAACAGGTGCCACTGTGAAGGTGGGAATGAACAAAAGGACCCTGGACAAGAGCTACAAGAAGAGCCATCTTCTTCAGATTTGGTTTCTAGGCCATCTACCTCATCTAGAAGGAGAGCAATTAGTGAAACAGAAGAAAATTCAGATGAGCTGTCTGGTGAACGACAAAGAAAATGCCACAAATCAGACAGTATTTCTCTTTCTTTTGATGAAAGCCTGGCTCTGTGTGTAATAAGGGAGATATACTGTGAAAAAAAATAATAGTAGTGAATCGACAGACTATCAAATCTGGATCTGGGTAAGTGAACACTCTGGTGATTGGTTGGATCAGGATTCAGTTTCAGATCAATTTACTGTAGAATTTGAAGTCGAATCTCTTGACTCAGATTACAGTCTTAGGAAAGAATGACAAGAACTCGCAGATGAAGATGATGAGGTATATTGAGTTACTGTGTATCAAGCAGGGGAAAGTGATACAGATTCATCTGAAGAAGACCTTGAAATTTCCTCATCTGACTACTGGAAGTGTACTTCATGCAATGAAATGAATCCTCCCCTTCCATCGCATTGCAACAGATATTGGGCACTTCATGAGAAATGGCTTCCTGAAGATAAAGGGAAAAATAGAGGGTGATTTTTTTTTTTTGGTACTGGAGATCGAACTCGGGACCTTGTGCTTCTGAGCCAGGCACAGTGCCACTGAGCTAAATCTCCGGCCAATAAAGAGAAAAATAAATGGAGCTCCCTGAGAAAGCCAAATTAGAAAACATCACAGGCAGACGAGGACTTGGATGTGCCTGATGGTAAAAAAAACTGCAGCAAATGATTAGAGATGAAAATAATGATAAAGTCACACAAGCCTCGCAGTCACAAGAAAGAGGACTATTCTCAGCCATCAACTTCAGTAGCATTATTAACAGTAGCCAAGAAACTGTTAAAGAGTTTGAGAAGGAAGAAACACAAGAGAAAGAAGAAAGTGTGGAATCTAGTTTTTCCCTTAATGCTATTGAACCTTGTGTGATTTGCCAAGGTCGACCTCAAAGAGGTTGCATCGTTCATGACAAAACAGGACATCTTATGTCATATTTCACATGTGCAAAGAAGAAAAGAAAGTAAAGAAAGGAAGTAAGGCCTGCCCAGTATGCAGACAATTCAAGAACCTGTGTTAACTCATTTCTACTGACAGATCCATAAAAGTATATATTTTAAATTTCTAACTATGTAAGCCTAAAAATATAGTCAACACAAATTTTATGAGCATATATTAATGTAGTCCTGATTGTCTAAATTTTTAGGTTTAGCATATGTATATTATTTATTGATATACAAATAAACGATTCATTGAATGTAAAAAAAAAAATCAGTATAGGAGATTTGGTGTCCAGACACTGGAATACAGCAATGTGAGGAAGACAGGAAGAAGGGAAGTAGGTGGACCTGAAGCAAGAATTGAGACCCAGGGGAAGAGCAAGGATAAAGACTTCAACAAAGAAGGAGGTGGCAAGTGGCACTTTCTCCCTGAGCCCTGACTCGCTGCATGGGTGGAGCGGCTCAAACCTGTAGATGCTCAGTGACTACCGGTGACCCAAGGCCTCCAGAGAAACACACCAGTGGAACAGACCATTGGACACAGCGGATTGCAGTGGCTGGTGAGTTATTCGGGTTCAGACATCACCCAGGAGAGGGCAATTGGTGGGTCACCATCTTGAAGACAGGCCAACAGATATCAGAGCAGCTGTGGGCTGGCTCCATCAGGGTGAGTAGAATTAAGTTCAAGTCTATAGGAGGTCAAGGAGCCAAGTTCAAGCCAGCAGAGAGTGGAGTTCAAGCTGGCAGGAGGCACAGAGTGTTGTAGGCTGAACAAATCGTGTTCCAGCCTCATAGGTGGAAACCAGCCTGAGCTTCAGAACTAAAGGTGCAGACTGGCTGGGATTATCCACTACCCCACCATAAATCTATGGCTGGCTTGTTGGGACTAATCAATGTGTCTCTGCACTCTGTGTATCCAACATGTCTGCCAGTGACGGCAGAGACATACTTTGAAGTGGATATTTTTTAAATTTTCTTTTCTGGGTTTTCATTTTCTTTTCTCCTTTTCTTCATTGTTCTTGTTTTTATATGTGTGAACATTATTTCTAATTTTGTTGTTGTTTTGTTCTGGTTTTTCTTTCTTCCTTCTCCTTCCTCCTGTCTTTTTCATCGTTTACCAAAGTTTGCATAATCTTCCTTTGTCCTCTAGCCCTGCTTCTAATTTCTTCCTTTTTCTATCTCTCTACTTTTTCTCCACTAACCCCTTTAAACTTTCTCCCCTAAGGGTAAAATTGCCATATTGAGGGTACAATTACTATAAACAATTTTCTGGTTTGTTTTAAATTTTGTTATATAACCACAAATATAGTTCATACAGTTTGAGGTGGCAAATGAATGGTAACCACATTTTGTC